AACAACAACAATGGCTAATGATCACGAACAGTTCTTCATATGTTTGTTGGCCATTTGAATGTCTTCTGTGATGAAGTGTCTGTTCATGTCCTGTGCCCATTTTTTAATTGGGTTATTTGTCTTTTTCTTGTAGAGGTGTAGTTTTCTATAAAGTTTAGAGATTAGTACCTTATCTTTTATATCATTGCCAAGACTTTTCCCCCAGTCCGTAGATGCTTTTTTTTACTCTTTTGGTGAATTTTTTTTTTTTTTTGGACATACATAAGTTGTCTAATTTTTAGGAGGTCCCAGTCATCTATTTTGTGTTCTGCTGTTTGTGTGTTGTTAGTTATATTTAATAGTGTATTTATGCCATGTATCAGAGTCCCTGTGTTTGTCCCCAGTTTTTCACTGATAATCTTTATAGTTCTAGGTTTTACATTTATGTCTTTAATTCACATTGAGTTTGTGCTTGTATATGGTGTGAGATATGGGTCTTGGTTCATTTTTCTGCAAATGGATTTTCAGTTTTGCCAGCACCATTTGTTGAGAGACTCTTTCTCCCATTTAATATGTTTTGGCATTTTGTTAAAGGTTAGCTGACTGTATGTGAATGGATTTATTTTAATTCTGTTCCATTAATCTATGCATCTTTCATTGTACCAGTACCAGATTGTTTTGAGCACTGTAGCTGTGTAGTCAATTTTGAGATAAGGAAGTGAGAGGCCTCCTACTTTGTTCTTCTTCTTAATGCTTTGCTAATATGAGTCTCTTTCCTTTCCACATAAAGTTAGTGATCATTTTTCATATCTCTTTAAAGAATGATGTTGGAATCTGGATTGGGATGACATTATATCTATAGATCGCTTTGGGCAGTGTTGACATTTTCATAGTGTTAAGTCTTCTTACCCATAAGCATGGTATAGTCTATTTTTGTAAGTCTCTTAGTTTCCTATACTAATGTTTTATAGTTCCCTTTGTATAAGTCTTTTGTTTCTCTGGTTAGATTTATTTGTAAGTATTTCACCTTTTGTGTGGCTATTACAAGTAGTATTGTTTTCCTGATTTGCTTTTCACAGTTCTCTTTATTAGTGTAAAGGAATCCAACTGATTTTTATATGTTGATCTTGACCCCTGCCATTCAGCTGAAATTTCCAATAACTTTCTTGTAAAGTCTGGGATTTGTTATGTATAGGATTGTATCATCTGCAAATACAGAGATCTTTACGTCTTTGCTGCCAATTGTTATTCTTTTAATTTTAATTTTGCTTGCTTGTTTTATAGCTCTAAGACTTCCAGTACAATATTGAATAGAAGTAGAGATAAAAGGCATCCTTGTCTGTTTCCTGTCAGTTTCTCCACATTGTTGGCTATTGGATTTGTATGTTGTTGTTGTTAAGTGCTGTCGAGTAGATTCTGACCCATAGTGA